AGATCATGAAAAACACCACGTGACAAATCTTGGCAAGTTAATGGAACTGAAGCTCAAATGAAAATGCCTATTATAGAGAAGAGCACAGCAAGTCTAAAATCCACTTGGGACTGAGAAAGAGAGGAGGTGTTCGTAACTCAGGACATTCAAAAAGCTGAATTTAAGTTACTCTGTATCAGCATATAGAAACTTATAGCACTTGAAGTCAAAATGCTGTAGAAGATGCCCAATAAGCATATGGAAAACAATATGCAATTAAATAACTAGAAAAATCTATTTCCAATTCTTTCACAACTATCCTCAATACAAACTATTTGCACTACTACTGGTAGCAATCAAAACTTCAAGAAAGTTTGACTTTTCGTGCAAGTTTGTACATTGCAGTAGAAGATTAACAACAGTAAGAGCACCTGTAAGTACAGCAGCTGATTCAAAAAGCCAAAGTGAAAGTGAACACAGAAACTGAGATCCAAACTGAACTCTGCATTCAAAGCTCAGACATGTCAACTTCATCATTAGCACTGTTTCGTAATTATTTCTAACTGCTTCTTATATTACCATCCATTTTCAATTTTTACACCAAATTTGGACAAAATGGACTGACTGTACTTCTTAGTTCAAATTGAAACTAGTATCCACTCTGTTTCTACTGTTCACTCATAATATAAATAACATTCTTGTTGCTGCTGTGTGGTTTTGGTCTTCTGCTCATAACTGGACTTTTTTAATGAGCACTGCATTAACATATAAACAATGTAGGCTAAAAAGGAGAATTAAAATACAAATGCTGCAAATTACAACAGCGTTTTGCTGCTGCATGAAAACATACCACTTTCAAAGCGGGATACACGGTTAAGAATACTTACAAAAGGTGACTTAAAGGCCAGACTGGCTGCTATAGTTAGTGCAGGATCCAGGCAGCGGAAGATGGTGCCAAACAGCATTAGCTTGCCAATCCTGACATCAACAGGCAGAGAAGCCAAGTGATATCCCAGAGGGGTGAGCTTTTCATCTGGAGTTAATGCTCCCAAGTCTTGTAGTCGCAGCTTTGACGCTCGCAAAGACTCAGTTCTAGGGGGCTCAATTAGTCGTGATAAGACAGAGTGAAGACTCTGTGCAGAAAACATCTCCAGAATCTTAATTCTTAAGGAGGGAAAAAAAAATAAAAATAAAAAAGAAAGATAGAAGAAAAAGCAGCTTAGTTCCATACACAGGACAAAAAAAGCAAGCTTTTATAAAAACAAAACAAAAAACCAACAGAAAACATGCTTCTAAGAACATGCACCCTAGAAGAGGGCCTGTAACATGTATTTCGAGTCAGGAAGCAATGTGAAAGAATAGGTGGGGGGCAGTGTACCTCATCCAACCTCACACAGGCCATAAGAACAGATTCCTGTTTAGTGCACTAGGGTTTAAAATGAAGTTTTTACTGTAAAAAAATAATTTTGTGTTGTTCCGTTTTCTTTTTGTACAAAGGGGTGCACAGTGTGCAGCAGGGATAGGAGGGCCTCTTCATTTAGCATTTGTGTGATGGTGGTGCTTGACCCAGGTTGTGGCTTTACTGCACTATGCTGCACAGAAACATCGCAGGAGAGTTTACAGCGTGAAGAGACAAACATCTACCGTGGGTCTGGAGTACAGCAATGCAGCTGTCTTCTCCAGTGATGACAGATCTGAGAGACGTATCTTTTTCCTAGGATCAGATGAGGGCTAAGGAATGTGAAGAAGGACAGGGAGAATTGGTGGAGGGTGCGATTAGGGGAGGCTCTGGATGCAGAGGCTATGTGATAGTAGGATCAAACCAACCAACCAACAGAGCCTTAGATCTCCAGAACAAGTTTCTTGGTTTCACAATGTGAGAAAACACTGAGCAAACTAAACACCTCGGTAACAGCATTCCAGGTGCTCCCTGCAGTGGAGGAAGGACATTCTGCACGCTGACTTTTTCAGGCAATACAGGAACAACAGCTCACCTTAGACAAAGCTGCTCCAAGGGCACTCTTTGTATTTCTGGTAACTGCTGTTTTATAAGCTGATGGCTATAGTGATGGCTACTGAAAAGATGAAAGCAGACGCCTGAGGCTACACGGCCTGCTCGCCCTTTCCTTTGCAGAGCGTTGGCCTTGGACACAAATGTGTCTTCCAGACTTTCCATTCCTTTGCTTGGGTCGTATCTATAGGAGAACAAGAAACAGGCCTATATTCACGAGTGCAGAGTGAACAGGCTGGAGGTCAAGCAGACAGATGCTGCCAACTTCTGTATGGACACAATTCCCACCCCTGCAGTTGGATCTGAGTCTAGACTGGCTTCCTCCACCTTGCAGCAGCTTTCTGCAGATCAAGTTCCTTCAAGTTTTTCCCAGCTCTTTGGAAAGCTAAAGTATGCAGTTCCCCAGATCACAAAGCCCTGAAGAATGAATCCCAGTACCTTTTCTCTTTCATTTTTCCAGAATCAATCACATAGACCACATCATCAATGGTGACAGATGTTTCTGCAATGTTTGTAGAGATGATGATTTTGATAACTCCTGCAGGAGGCCTGAGGAACACAGACTGCTGTTCTTCACTAGACAGTGAAGAATGAAGCGGATAAACAACACACCTGGAAGGACAATATGACAGCATGCTCAGTGCATCTCCAGCCTTTACCCTCTTGGGAACAATCTGCCTGTACACACTTTTGCCTCAGTAGTACTAGACACTGCCCACAGCCATTCAAAGCAATATAAAACCAGCAAACCTCTCTGCCATATCACCTTTAAGACACAGAATCATAGAATCATTTAGGTTGGAAAAGACCCTTAAGATCATCAAGCCCAACCATTAACCCAAGTGTTAACTCCCAAGTCCACCACTAAACCATGTCCCTAAGCACCATGTCTACATGTCCTTACCTCCAGGGATGGTGACTCAACCACTTCCCGGGCCAGCCTGCTCCAGTGCTTGATAACCCTTTCAGTGAAGAAATTTTTCCTCACATCCAATCTAAACCTCCCCTGGCGCAACTTGAGGCCATTTCCTCTCGTTCTATCACTTGTTACTTGGCAGAAGAGACCGACACCCACCTCGCTACAACCTCCTTTCAGGTAGTTGTAGAGCGCAATACGGTCTCCCCTGAGCCTCCTTTTCTCCAGATCAAACAACCTCAGTTCCCTCAGCCGCTCCTCATAAGACTTGTTCTCTAGACCCTTCACCAGCTTTGTTGCTCTTCTTTGGACATGCTCCAGCACCTCAATGTCTTTCTTGTAGTGAGGGGCCCAAAACTGAACATAGTATTTGAGGTGCGGGCTCACCAGTGCTGACTACAAAGGGACAATTGCTTCCCTTAGTCCCGCTGGCCACGCTATTTCTGATACATGTTCTAAGGGAAGGTGGAGAAGTTTACAGAAGGGACAGGTCTCAGAATAGAGTTGAGCAAAAATTCTGCCTCTTCTGAAAAGTCTAGAATCTGCCATTTATAATGCCAGACTGGAAGAAATCACTCCAGCTAACCTTGCCATGGACATCTGTGTAAAAACTGTTTAGTCAAGGACATCCAATTACATCTCCATGTAACAATCTAAGGCCAAATGCAACCACAACTGAATGTGTCTCAGCAAACATTCTGAAACAGAACAAGCGCCGAAGTGAAGTTTTCAACAGTCCACTGGATCATGCAGAGCACAAAATGGAGAACACTCATCACTAGGGTCTCCGAGAACTTCAACAACTAACCTTCCTGAGTTGAGAAAAAACAAAAAGAGCAAGCCAATAAGATAGCAGAAAAGGAATTATCCTGACTGGAGTCAAGACCTTCATATCACAAGCTGTCTCACACATTTAATAACCTTTACTTATCCCTGGATAAGGGCAGGCTTTGTGCAGGAAGCTACTCTTTATTTATGGGTAAAGACCAATAGTTTTGGAGCTTTTCTGCCTTACCTCTTGCTGTGCCTGTTATTAAAAAGAGCATTAGACTGGAGCTGCTCATAAAGCATCTTGATTTCTGCTAGACCAGGCAAAAATATCAACACAGCACCTATATACATAGATTTAAAAAAAAAAAAAAATCACTCAACAGAAATTTTATCAATGTGCAGAAGGCCCAAGTCAAAACTCCAGCTCTGTTTTGCAATTATTGTACAAAAAACCCACAGGCTGCAACAGTCCCTCACCAAAGACTTTCCAAAGTAGACAATTCTCTCACCTTCCCCATCCCATGTATATCAGGGGCTTTGTTACTCAGCTAGAACTTTATTTTTTTCAAAAATAGTCAGTAACTACAGAAACTCTGCCTGCAAAATATTAGCTTTGGGCTGTCTATAAGTGCACAGCCTCCATGAATCTACTTTTGGTTATCTCTCAAGGACAATGAAATTACCTGGGGGGTATGAATGTCTGCCAGCAACTATCCACTCCAGCAAGGCTTCAATTAATTCCAGATTAACTTTGTCCAAGTCCATGACAGACAATGTTTTCAACACCGTCTTGTTAACCCCTGGGGAAAAAGAAATAAAACACACAGTAAGTCCATCTCTTGTAAAAAACATCTGCTGGATTCATTGAACCAGTGTGGCTGCACAACCAACCACACCTTGGTTTAAACAGCATCTGGCTTAGACCAGACAGAGATAGCTCCGTAAGTGACTCAATGCATCGCATTCCCCCTTCTATGCTTTCCTCTGTTTCAGCTCTTCCCTTCCTTTCTCATGCCTTACTGGGGCTCACACCTGCCCTGCGCACAGCCTAGACAAGGATTCATCTACTAGCAGAATGACATGTGCACATACTAGTTGGTAAGAGCAGCCGAAAGCCTTCATATAGCCACTTACAGATACCTCCAGGACTACCTTCTAAAGCTCTCTCTCCTCCCTTCCAATGTTTCTTAACACCAACTCAAAAAGACACCCAGATTCCCTTACTCTTCTGAGATGGTAACTGTCTAGCAGCAATGCGAAGCTGTTAAGCAATGGCTCTCACTCAATACCACTGTGGAGCTCACCATAAGGGTGTGCAGGGAGGAACTCTCCAGGACTAAGCACAAGGAGGATTTTGATGATGACAGAGTGGGAAGTTCATGGAAAGGTCTGCCTCTCTTATTAAGCCATTCACAGAGTGACTGAATTTCTCAAGGAAGGCTTGTCATGCTGAAGTGGGCAGATAGATGCTGTGCTTTTAAGTAAAGCTGCTTCAGCAAGAACAGATACAGAGAAGAAAGTGGAATTATCAAGGTGTCTGAAAAGGGATGGAAACAGATAGTAGCTGAAAACTTTTCATTTGCAGATGCTAAGAACTGTTTTCAGCCAAGATGTTTGTTCTGGTTTAAGAGAACAATGGGTTCTCTTTTTTTTTTTTTTTTTAAGCTGGCAGGAGGTTTCTGATCTCTGCTAGAAGTAGTGACCTGCTTAACTTCACAAGTACAAAACTCTGAATTATATAAATGCATTCAACATACATTATTATATGCTAACATACCATGTTGGCTACCAAATATTATATGCCAATTAATTAGATTTAAGAAGGAGCTCACCTTTATATCGTGTAAGGAGCTGCTTCAGAGTTAATTTTTGGTCTGGGTCTGAATCTCTGACAACTGTGTCAGTGCCTTCCAGAAGGCCAGCACGTCTCAGGTCCTCCTCTACTTCTTCAAATGCAGTTCTTTTGTGTCTTCCATTCTGTTTGTTTTCTTGCTTTGTCTTGCGCCTGTAAGGACTACTGTCCTCTAAAACATACCTGAACAGCAGAAGAACATTTAGTGGCATGGAAAGAAGCCTAACAGTGTCCTAATAATTAGCTACAGAGATAGGCTATCAAAAGTATTTATTTATAAATCTGAGAGGAACTTTATATATGTGGGTTACAAAACCATAGACAGTATCAAGGTCAAGGTGTCCCTCCATACTGGGATGTTAGTCTTTTAAAAGCTGTGATGTGAAAGACTAGGACTGCAAACTTGATCTTGACAGCTAAACGGGCAGCTCAGAGCAACAATCTGCAAGTAATTTACAATAACTGATCAATTTACTGTCTGGAATATCTGAGCTGCTGTGACTCTCCAGTAACTACAAATGGTAACAGGAATCTGGTACCTGAGCTGCAAGGTAGGGCTTACAAAAAGGAATTGTTTGGTATCCTGCATTTTTCACCTTCAGTGCTGAAATCTACCTTCAAATTTCTTTTGCTTGCCAATGTCTAACCAGCACTGAAACAAGTAAAGTACAAGCACTGACAAACTCTTCATGGCAAAGCTCACCTTTTCTTGAGTACTTATGTGGTATCTAATGCAGAAAGACTTGTTTTGGCATGAGATCCTAGACCCCACCGCAGTATAAGAAGTATGGTTTAAAGTCAGTGCTTTAGTAGAACTCCAAGACTCCAAGGTGATGGGGGAGATTTGAGAGGATTTAATTTTTAAATTTATGCACAGAACTACTGCAGTCTCAAGGTCAATAGTGCAGCCTCAAAGGCCAAATACATCTGAGAATGTTCGGCGATTTCATACCTTGTCATTGCAATCACATCTTCCAGAAAAAACTGATCCACAGGAAATGTTCGACCTAAAAGGAAACATGAGAATAAATCTACATGCCACATAACACACAGAAAAGAGGAAAAAGACATAAGATGGTTATTATTTCACGCAGGTTATTATGTCATAGACTGGCTTCACAGCTCTTGTCTATACTGCACTCTTCAACACAATTTCTGTCTAGGATAAACAGTGGATGTTTTCCAAGCATGGTTTGGTAACACGCACTTACACAATCAGAGAAGGGCTGATACACTTATGGGAACATATCCATGAGGTTACGTGTTTCTGTCATGCTCCACGTAACAACTTAGCAATTTAAAAGGCACATTTGGCTAAATGTGTACACATCCAGCCTGATCCTCTCACTGCTTCTTTTTCACAAGGATAGAGAAAAGTCTTCAGCTGTGGTGAAACTAGCTCAGGGAACCATGTCATGCACACCATGTCATTTTTGTCTTTTGCGGAAGGAAATTCTCCTGGTCTAGAGACAGCACAAAAAAGGCTCCATTTCCAAGTCTTCTCTCTCCTAAATCTGTTTGGTCTTTCCTTCTAAGCCCTTGGAATCACAGTTCTCATATAAATCCTCACCTCGCCACTTTGCAAATTAGCCCCTTGCACTTGAATTGAGAAACACTTCGCAAGCAGAAATACTGAAAACAACCCCCTAAAACAATGAATGTGACAAGATAATAAAAATGAATGGTTTTCACCTGGTATGTTAATAATTGGACAGGAGTGAAAGTATTGAGAAAAAAGTTCTGCATTCAAGGTGGCACTCATTAGTATAATGCGCAGGTCTGGCCTCTGAACCATTATATCCTTCAAAACCAGCAGCAAGAAGTCACTGAAGAAAACAAGCAAAAAGACATTTGAGTTCCTTCAATGTTAACTTTCAGAGTCTCTTTTTCTCCTCCCCATTCTGTGTACCTTCCTGGTGTTTTCAATAGCACAGCAATACCATCTCAGAAGCATGAGCTTCTCAGAATGGCTGGAGGCTAATAACGCAGTAAATTAATGGAAGGCAATCTGCTTACTTTTTTTGGTTGTCCCTTATTAGAGTGTCAGGATTACTTGGCAAATTCATTTAAGCAATAAAAAGCTCTAGCTACCTTATAAATTAATTACATTAATGCCAACACAAGAACATTAGATAACGAATTAACTCAAAGTAACAGATGAGTCCTTTTTGCTTACTGGGAGAGTTATTCAAACTTACTCACTTTTCCCTGCTTACTGTATTCTTCCCTACATATTTATAGCTTTTGTGGCATGCCTAGAAGACTGGCTTGAAGTGATTTTAGATGAGAAGGAAGAAGAATCCTTGAGAGATACAATCCCTTTTATAAGGCTAAAATATAATCTGAGCTGTAGAATAACAGGTCACAAAGTCTCCTGGAAACCCATTGATTTGCAGTGTTTCACAAGGAAAACATCAAAGAAAAGAATCCTTGCCGTTTAGTTTACAGACATACTGACAGACGTTATCTTTTGCCTGGCATCAGCAGGTAAGTAGGGTAAAACTGCAGGAGGCTGGAGCAGGTAGGATGAGACTCTCTAGAACTCGTAAAATCTATAGACTGGAAGAAAACATGAGCACTTGTCCCTTGCAGGTACTCTACTGAAGCCAGCATCAAGAGAAATAATTCCCAAAAGGGCACGTGAAGAATTAGGGTATTTGGTAAAAGCTGAAACAAGGGAAGAATAAGAACGAGACAACTGTGGTTAAAAAGCTACTTAACCCGCCAGCCCCATCCAAAACCTCTTTTCAACACATCTGCAATGTGATGGCAGATCAGAGGCATAAAAATTTAAGAGACGTGCTTTCTTTGCAAGCTGCTGCAACACAACTTCCTACCGCCCAAAGACAAGAACCTAAAACCAGACTCCTTCCACCATCCCACATTACTGCCACAGGATCAACAGGTCTGACTTCAGTTACTTGCACCTTAGTCACCTTTATCCTTTTGACTATGTTTCTTCATTTTGCTTATGGGATAAGAGATTATTTACCTTTCTTCTGTTCTTTCGTGAACTTCATCAACAATAACATGTGTGATTCCCTGCAAAGTCAGATCTCCTTCCAGCCTTCTCAACAGAACACCAGTAGTGCAGTACAAAAGTCTGGTAGCTGAGGACTTGAATGGTAAGACAAAGCATTCAGTTGACTTTGTGCAACTTAACATAGCGCAAAGAGAATATGTGTTGCTGTAAAGCATTCAGTTTCAGCTAAGTGCCAAGTTTGACAGAAAGGGACCAAGCAATCCCTGCTGGAGATGAGCTGAAAGCTTTTCTTTCTTGATTAAAACTTAAGACCATCTGCTTCTTACCAAGGGGCATTGCTAACTATAAGGGGTAAACAAAAAATCTGAACTGTTTCTCCTGTGGAAGTTGCTTTGTGATAAACAACTCAGATCTCTGTCCCTAGAAAGAGTTAGTGAATCTCTTTTTTAACATAGTTCTTGGAAAAAGCAATCAGCTGCAACGTAGACAAAATTTACTTCCGAGACAGCGGTTTGAATTCAACCCCCATTTCTGGCTCCACTTGGGAGCCAAATGGAAATGAAGACAAGTGGAAATGCAATCAGTAGCCTTCCAGAGGACAGAAGCATACTCATACTCTCAGACCCCTTCACCTGTCTCCACAGAAAGCAAAACCACAATACAAGACATAGTACTGCACTCTCATTCTGTAAAGTGGACTGTGCAACTTGAGATGAAATAAAATATAGAATATATTTCATAACATAACATAAAATACAGGTGACACAGACTTGCTTATCTCACTATAGGGCAGATATAGGGCAGAGATTCTGTATGCTAGAGAAGCACTAAGCACATTTTAATAGAACTAAACGAAAACCAACAAGCGAAGCATATATACCTTTACACTTTCTAGACGGATCTGATATCCAACAGTGAGTCCAATCCTTTCTGTTCTTTCTTTGGCTACACGTTCAGCCACAGAAATGGCAGAGATCCTGCGAGGCTGAGTGCAGATGATGTTTGCAACTCTGCTTGGAGATCCTTGCAATGAAGCATCCAAAATAAACTGAGGAATCTGAGTGGTTTTCCCACATCTGCATGACAAAATCAGGGATTACTTAAAAAAAAAAACCACAAACCCAACACCTTTCCATCCACGTAAATTAAGATCATAGAATAGAATCATAGAATCATTAAGGTTGGAAGAGACCTCCAAGATCATCGAGTCCAACCATCAACCCAACACCACCATGCCCACTAAACCATGTCCCTAAGCGCCTCATCTACCCGTCTTTTAAATACTTCCAGGACTGTGCACAATCATAAGGGTTTGTAGAATCGTACCTTTGGAGACCAATATTTTATGTTGGCAGTTTGATGTTGGCTCATCTCCACTAATATTACTTGTCTGTGATCAACCTGCTTTCTAAATATGTTTTATGATTTGTAACTTGATGCTAATACCAGTGAACTGTAATATTAGAGAACATAAATAATGTGACAGAAAAAGATGTGTAATCCCATATACATGTTATCTGATGCTAACATACTATTCATTAACTTCTGTTATATATTTTGAGTTGTAGCATTTTGGATCCAGACATCATTCTTTACTTGGGCAAGAAACTCATTGTCAAGTGTGATGTATAATATCCAATTTTATTTTCTCCATATGTTTGTGCTAAATATATGCCACAACTTCTGGTATTAAATGGCAAGCATTTGGTCTCCTTAAGTAACTGTATGCTTTTGTAAGTTACGTTATTTTCTGTAGAACCTTATCCTTCTTGTAGTGAGGGGCCCAAAACTGAACACAGTATTCGAGGTGTGGCCTCACCAGTGCCGAGTACAGGGGCACGATCACTTCCCTGCTCCTGCTGGCCACACTAGTTCTGATACAGAAGATGACTGCATTCCACTTGAAATTTGCTTTGTTTCACTAGTGTCATCCTTCACATGAAGTTCACCTAGGACTGCTGTCACTGGTCACAGATGGACCACGACCCTAACCTTTTCAGGACATGGATACATATTTCACATTCTTCTGTGTATACTTTGATACACAGTATCTTTGTATATCAAAGTATACTTTGATAAAGTCTGTATGTGCAATCAGACTCTTACCCCGTCATGCCGCTCACAACAAGAACTTGGTGGCTCTTCAGCAAATCAAGAATGGTTTCCCTCTCTTGCCATGCAGGGAGCTTCTGTCTTTCATACAACATGGACTGGAAGCGCCTAGAAGACTGATGCACAAAAACAGACAGCATGGCAGTAAGAACATCACTGGAGCGGAACAGATCCATTTGAAACAGCAGCCTGTGGCTTAAATATTTATTTCTCTAAAGTAAGCATGAAAACAGATATTCTATTCTGTACATTATACCTTTTTCAGCCGAAATTGTGTGCAGATTTTAACATTTTCGTTATACAGAGACTTTGCCTGCACATCATACTTTTTGGAAAGCTTTTTCTTGAGGTTCACGTAACTCTCATTCTCCACAACAACTTGTTCAGGCTCATCTTCCTCCTCCTCTTCTGCCACCTCCTCTTCTTCCTGAGGCTCTGACACTGTTGAGGCTTGAGACAGAGAATGTACAGTTAGGTATTCTTGTTACTAAGGAACAGGACCTCATCAGCACTGCAGAAGAGAGACACATATTCCAGGAGCATTCTCAATAAAGAACCTTGTTAGACTGGAGCTTAGGGTCTGCAGGACTGTTTTTGACACACATTTATTTCCGAACTACCAGCAAACCTCCCCTCACCCCATCAAACAAACCACAACTTCTCCAGCTCCAACCCACTTGTCACTACCCCTGCACCAGCTGTGCTCTGCAACACCATGGTCTGCGTGGCCACATGGTGAACCAGACTGGTAACTGGTTTGCCTTCCCGAATGTTTTTCATGTGTCTCAGCTCACCTCTCCAATTCACCACATGACCACTTCTATGGGGCACAAGACTGTGATGGCAGCACCAGCTTAAATTAATTAAAATTACACTGTAACATTAAGTGTTAAGCCACTGCCAAGTACTTTTAAACCAGGGCTAAAACTGGACTAGGTACTTTGGTGCGTACTGCCTATCAATTGAAGTGGGATTTGCTCAGACAGTAAGCCAGCCCTTGAAAGTTTTAAGGCTACATTTATCTAAACAAGGTATTTTATAACATAAGGAAGATTTTATAACATAAGGAAGATTATTTGGAAACTCTGATTTCAATTTCCGGAACACAGCTCTGTCTGTGGAGCTGTTAAAAAACCGGAATACTGTTTTACTGTAACAAAAAAAATAGGCTGTCACTATTTAGGTGCTCTAAAACGTGATGCAGTTGTTCTTGAAAACTCTCTTCAAGAAAGTTTGTCTTAGATAAAACAGTTTTGGAATTGAGAGCTTGAAGGTCATCTATGCCATGGACTTGCTGTCACCCTGCTGTGACACAGTCCCAACTCTCTGCCTGTGAAATCAACCTAGTTACACCTGCATGCAAAAAAAGGGATGATGCCTTGAACAACATTCTAGAACCGCTTGCAACATTTACTTAGCCTTAAAACCACATTTACAAAATTAATTTTGAGGAGGGGTTGGTAATTTTAAGTAATTTAAGTACCCTTCCAAGCACACTTCTCTGGTCAATTTTAGTGAGCTCACACCACATCTCTCAATGGCTTTTCATTGATTGTGTGGGAATAGGCATCGTTCACTCTGCCAACCCAAACTCATTAGCTCTGTGTGCCTTTAACTCAGTTCTTGCTAGCAGAAAATCTCTCTGCTGCAGCTTTACTATGGAAAGGACTTCCTGAGGCACAGACAGATTACGGATCTGGCTCACCACATGACCTTAATCTCTAGAAATAGATTTGGAACAGATGCCTGAATTGGGCTCTCTGCCTTCTCTTTTTTTTTTTTTTTTTAATCTTTTTGACTGTTCTTAGCCCAAAAACCATAGAGGGAAATTTGGTGTACCTTCAGACATTCGATTTGAACCAGATGTACTCTCTGTCTGCAGCTTTACCGAAGGTGTTGCCAGCAGGGTCATAGGAGGAACACTGTACTTGTGGTAAGTATTTTTAAGTAACTCGCTTATTTCAGATTCATCTTCTAAGCAAGTCACTAAGGTATACACCACTGGTTCATTAGACTCTGCAGCTATCAAGGCCTTTCCAAAGAGGAATTCAGCAATGTGTAAACGACAAGCAAGAGGTAGATTCTCATTGGTGGAATAAAATGCCACAAGAGGTGCCTGGAGTGGATACTTGTTTTCTTCAGGAAATCTTACTTCAAGTTCATATACAGGACCATCACTGTTAGGTCTGAGATGAGCATCATCTACAGAGTTCCTGGCTGGTTTCAGTGGGTGGTTTGGAGGGAATTCATGTCCAAATCTGCATTTTGAACCAAACCTGCAGCCTCCTTGGAGATAAAATTTACATATTTCCTTTGAAGTCTGCTTTTCTGTGTCCCTAGTACAACCACCCTTTTGTTTAGATTTGCTGAGCCTGTTTGCTAGGTACTCCAATTCCAAACTAAAAGTCCAAACACGGTTTTGAATTCTTTCTATAAATTTTTCTCCATAGATTGACCGGAGGGCAAAAGCCTCTTCTTGCCTCTGTTCTAAACATTCTTCTTGACTGGCTTCAGCAGCTGTTGCAGAAACCTGCATCTTCTCTCCATATCTTTCAGTAAAGCACTGCAATAGCAAATACTCCAATGATGCTCCAATATTACCATTGCAGGATCTCAGTACTCTCCTACAACACTCACTGTCAAAACCATACCTGCAACAAAACAGAGACAACATGGCAAAAAGTGAGTGACAGACTTGTATGAAGCAAAATAACCACAGATGTGTTTGATTAGGCTTACAAGAAGGAAGCATGTATGGCATGAGATACTATTACTACTATTGGGGGAAAAAACCCACACCAAAATATTTATGCTATTTTAAATGACAGTGGCAGGCAGTAATTTGGTGTCTGTGAATGCTAGTCTGTTGTTTATAAGGTGACAAATTAGTTTATGTGGCAACTATCTCACACCTCAGAATGCAGCACCTAATAGTTACAGGATTAGATTTCCCAGTTGAACTATATAAATTAAACTCTTCAGAAAAAGCTGAGTCCTCTCACATATAAAACACTCTCAAACAAAGCAAAAATAGTTAGTAAATGCTCATATCTGAGCAAAATGGATGAAGAACACTTACAAGGTTTTGAAACATTACCTACCTAGAAGAAACACGCATATAACAGCAATGCTTTCCCCAATATCTCTTTCATTGTCTTGGAGAAAGAATTGAAAACTTCACTGAAAAAAGGCTGGAGTGATTTTTTTTTCATAAAACCATTATTTTAAATTCATCTAGTTGAGGATTAAATTTGTAGGAGATGCAAACTCATCAGTTCTGCCCATAGAACTTCCCTAGAGTCAAGAGGAAGTCCAAGCACTGAGGGCTTACAGTATCGAGACTAGTGATTTACCTCTTCAGGATACATATTATTCACTGAAAAGCATCACCTGGAGAGTTTGTGCACAGCAAATGAAGACACTTCACTTTCCACAATTCTGTGCTCAGCTGGCTCAGCAGACGACCTTGGTATTACATCAGAAACTTCCTGATCTGTTGACCAGCACTGTTCATCATCAAGGTAATCAGGTTCATCATCGTCTTCAACAGAACCAGCTACTCTGATAAAAAGAGTTATCAAATGAAAATGAAACAAAATTATACTGTTGAGTAGACACAAACCTCTGCCTCTGCAGTTTTAAATCCTTCATGTAAATGGAGGATGCTACTACTGCTTTCCCAGAGTTAATATTGTAGAAGAACAAAGCAGACTCAAAACTACAGGATTTGAGACCAAATTAAAAGTTAAGGGAAAAAAGAATACTGTTTTCATTTCTAACAGTGTGCCTGTTAAAGCGTGCTCATCTAGAGGAGCTAGAAGTAGTGCCTCTGTTTAAACTAACTCTGATTCAGGAGCCAGCTCCTGCCCTTGAAGCTCTTGAAGAAGTTCTTTCACTCTTCTCTGATTCTCCGATGTCATGTGTATGGTCTGCAGAGGCATTCTCGCTTCAGGTCTCTGTTTCGTTTGCCCTCCTCTTCTGGCAGGGGCATTTGATCTAAAAATTAAAATAGAACATAACAATGACTTATTTGCCTGGCTCAAATGATCTTGACTGAATTGCGATGTGTTAGGACCTAACGCTGTAATTCAAAACAGGAAAACCAAAACAAGATGAGTCTATCACCTAAGGATTATTCAGTTGGGTTCATTCTTACGTGACCAGGATGTGTGTGTCTATATCGGCGTGCATATATGTATTTTATCCTATGTCAAATCCAAAGTGATTTAATAAACACTTTGCTAGGTAAAGCTGTTCTCAGGCTACAGGACAACCACTTATTTCTAAGCTAGATTGGTCAGAATACATCGGTCAGGATACTAAATTCATTCCAAATTGCTTATTTTCCATGGCCCAGCTTCTGCTTTGTAATACACAACAATGAATATCCTGTGTTTATTAGTGTTTTCTGATCAAAGACATTCTGAAATTACTTTATGATCAAAGAAGAAAATCAGAGGTTCTACTCTTTAAAAAAAAAAAAAACTTTCCTAGCTATAAAATGTTAAAAATGTTAATCAAAAAAGACATGTAAAAACTGCTTCATACTGAAACAACTTCATCACCCCTTCACTCTTCTGTATATTCAAAGATGTCCAAAAACCAGCCCCAAAGTATCCCAAACATCTCTATGCCAACCCCCCACCCCCAAATTAACAGAAAGACCTGGATTCCAGCCTTGGTTCCTCGAAGAGACAAAAATCATCTCCATCGTCCCAAATTTTGGTTGAACATTTCCTATTTCCACCAAGTTGAGACTTGTTTGAACGGCCACTGCTGCCTCCTCTTCCTCCTCCTCTTCCACTGCCTCCTCTCCCTCTTCCTCCTCCTCTGTT